AAGAGAGAGGTAAGGATAACGTAGGCAGGCAGAGATGATGGATATATAATGTTGTGAATTTTTTTTCCATTTTGCGCTTGTGGCAAAAATTTTAATTTCAATCCATTCTAAAGTTAAGCTACATCTAAAAAATTAAGAGAGTGTTTCTGTCACAAACAAGTGAAAAGCATCGTGTAGCATGCAGTTTGCTTAGCTTTCCAGATTGTTGTAGGCTGTAGAGAACGTACCGTTTCCATCACTTTTACTGCTCCCACTGTGTCACAACAAGTGGTAAAGTAACTTTTCTCCAAAATATAGCAGCAGGGGAGCAAAAGATGAATTGTTGCTCCTTGTTCTGCCAGCTCTGCTCCTTGGCAAGTATATTTTTACTCTCCTTGACTAAGGCTTATGTGCCAGAAGCGTGCTCTAGCTCTAAATGAACTCTCCGCTGGTCATCAGTGTATAAGAAGGGTGAGGCAGGTCATGCTGCTGTTGCTTTTCTAAAGCAAACGCGATGCCAAGAGAGCTAGGTATGAGGATAGGATAATAAAAGACGGGAGAACTTTGAACTGATTTATTGAGACAGAATAGTAACATGTGGGCAAAGCTCTTTTACTCCTTTGTAAAAATACACTTGTTTGGTTTTCTGTATCAAACAATAGCAGTGCTTTATTTAAACATAAAATAAAGTGGGTTTTATTGAAAAAAGAGAGTTATGTCAAATGCTGTTACAGTAAGTGTTTGTACTGAAGGTAATGTCAATATTGGTCAAAAAGGAAAAGCATTGTGCAAGTGGGTGTAAATAGTGTGTGTGTGTGGTGTATATATTTGTGTGTATATATGTATGTGTGGGTGTATATACATTATATAGAAACACACATAGCAGTAATTCTCCGAAGTACTAGAAATGGCAAGATAAGCATACTCTTTCATATAATTCTTTGCACAGTTTACACATTTGTAGAGAACCACCCAAACTCCTTACCTGATTTTTCAGAAACTCTTCCGCCTTTTCGTCCTTAATTTCTCTTGCTTGCTTAAATGCATCATATCCATTGCTGTTCTCCACTGCTGGCTTGCCTCCTTGTCACGTATTAAACCAGCGCAGATTGTATATTGATGAGCCTGCATTGACAAATATGCCTAGATTATATGTAGGTAGATGACAGCCTTATTTTTATTACTCTTCTGTCTTGAATGAACACCAAGATAAAACGAGAGGTTTGGGGTCAAGTTTTGATGCAGTAACAAACTTGTGCATGTAAGTCGTGCCATATTGCTAGCCACTTAAATCCACTCACAGCATGGATTTGCACTCAGTCCGTATATGTAATTTCCTTTTTTGAAAAAACGTGGCAACAAGGAGACATAGGAATAACGGAAGTGTTTACCAAACAAAAAGCGTAGGCTTATGAAAAACAGAAACTACTAGCGTTTGGGAAGTTGTTCTCTTGAAGCCCGAGCAACACCTTCAGCGTGACCAGTCACATTTAGAAGGGCCAAAGCCTGGCTAAGCTGCAGCGCTGACCTGTTTACTTTTAGGCCTAATCTTGAAGTTTACATCATGGATGGACACCTCTGCAGGGCTCAGAGATTTTCATGGAATTGTGCTGAGGCTTGCAGGAATTATCCCCATGCTGTAAACTGCAAGATTAGCGGGTTTGGTCTGCTTCCCTTTCTGTTTTATCATACTCTCTGTTTTTTTGCCAGAACCTATTTTCTGGCTTTTCACCAACTCCTAACAATCCTTTCATCCCTTGGGCCTGCTTTCCCCACCTTTGCTTTTGAATGGAGAACAAGGCCTTTAGGCATGAGTTGGTAAATTAAAATTGTATTGTTCTATTTTATTAACTGACCCCCTTGGCTGCTCTCAGCAATCTCATTTCTGATCCTCGGACGTCCTTAATTAAATCCAAGATAGTTATAAACACCTATATAGGGAATTTGATCACAATTATTGGAGATGACATATTTTTGTCATACAAGCAGGTATGAAAAATAATTAACTCCCCTGAGATGTTTAATAAAAACTAAAATTTGGGAACATATGAAAGGTACCAAGGAATGTTAATTGAATTGAGCTGCAGACTCCTAGGACATCTTTTCTAAAGTTAAAAGAATATCTTTAAAACAATTTCTGTATTCACAGGGAAACTATTTCTTTCAGAAGGACAAAGGCGGTATTTACTGGCCTTTTTCAAGTAGGATTTATGTAAGTACCACGACAAAAAAGCACAGAAATACTTAAAATAGCTTCCTTTAAGTGACAAAACTGGGTCTGCTCTTTAATGCATTCCCCGTTCCACCTCGAGGGCTTCACAAGCCTCTGCACAAGGCCGCCTGCCACAGAGCCTGTACTGGCAGCCTTCTGTGCCTTGGAGACGCACAAATATAATACGGTGAATAAAACCCTGAATCAAAGATGAACCTGCGTAGCTTAAAAGGTACAACATTTGCACCAGTAATTGTTTTGCTCCTTTTGTCTCACTGCCAGAAAGCCTAACACGTAATAAACACAGACATCACTTCTGACAAGGAACAGTTAGCTTGTGCATCGCTTTGCGACTCATCACGTCTTAATAGACTTTAACATGTAATAGGCATTTCCTTAGAGCACAACACGTTTCATTAAGGTGTCCAGCTTCCCCTCGAGAGAATACTAAATCAAAATAGTTGATCATTTACCTGGAAATTGTGCTCAGATGGCAGAAGCCCCCCCCATCGCGTCCCCACCCCGCTGGCACCTAGGAAGGCAGAGGCTGCAGGTGAGAAGTATGTTTACTGTTGACAACAGCTACCCGTTGCCATCACTTTTAGGTAGCTCTAAGGCAAACTTGCTGGAAAAGGTGGCTGGGTATTGTGATTCTAATGAAGTGGGACCAAGAGTGACTACTGGTGACAGCAAACCTCTTAAAATCTTGAGGAAAACTGCTTTATGGTTCCTGTCAGGAAGACATGTACAAATGCAGCTCCAGCTGGGAACCAAAATTAAGAAGCAGAAACTTAAGGCTAGAAAGTTGCCAGTACAAGATCAAGTAAGAATTTCCCCCTTCTCCCCCTTTTCCCTTCCTTCCTTCCTTTTGGAGGCAAATTGCATTGGAAGAGAGAACTACTTTCTCTAATGATAACACAAGATTCTGAAATTAAGCACAGCAGGTAGAAATATCCTGCACAGATTTAAAAAGATATCTGCATATTCATGTGCTGAACTGTTTTCTAGTGCTGACAGTTAACTATTCCAAGTGGAAAAGGTATACGCTCTGCTGCTGTTCTTTCTCTGCCAAGCTCCCTTTTTAAAACTCCAGCACCAAATTTTGGAGGCTGTGTACTCTCATCACTGTTATTCTTACCGCCATCCCTTATAGTAGACGAATGAAGATTTACAGAGCAAAATGATTTTGTCTTTGAATCAGATTGCAGCAAATATGTATATTTTCAAAAAATTTTGAGAACGGGGAAAGGGATGCTTCTCCACTAAAAATACTCGATCCCTCCTGACCTTCCTCCGTGTTGCACAAGGAGACCACTGTGCCATCTGAGGACCGTACCTAGAACATATTTCAGAAGCAAAAATCTAAACACTGGCAGCGAAGGGCACTTTATGCAAATGTGTTTCCTGAGTGATGACTCTTCCTCCCTGATGATTCAGGGAAGACATAATAATTGGGGAAAATAAGCAGAGTACCCTGCCCTTCGCTTCTTTCCTCCAGAGCACACACATCCCCTTGCAAGCAGGTTTATGACAGAATAAAAGGTTCATTTGGGTGGGAGCTCCTTTTAAATTATGGTCAATATATCTCTGTTGAAAATAGCGGAGATAAAGCAGAGCTATAAAAGACACTTCTAGGAAGAGGAAACAGCCATCATGCCTACCTCAAAATTGCACTCATCCTCCTTTTACAGCCCACCTGTCAATCCTGTTATCCTTGTCTAGAAAAGAATTTACAGCAACAGTCTCTGCTGCAATCAGTTTCCATGGTAACTTCGGTTCTGTTTTAAGACCTTAATGTAAAAATGGCTTGGTTAAAATGATAATGAGCTGGAGTGCCTGCCCATACCTGAACTATGCCTTTCCCATTGCTCAAAAATATTCAGATAGGGGTGTCACTCCCTCTGCCGTAGTTCCTTTAGCTCCTACAACTCTTCCTTTCTAATACGTCAGATCACTTTCTTTACCATCTGGAAATCTTCCTTCTTCAGAGACAAACTACAGAATTCAGGGTACTGACCCGTACACTAATTCTGATTACTTCTTTGTGTTATCTAAAATCTCATCCTGGAAAAAAATAAAAAATTAAATGTTCTTAAATACTTCAGCGATAACAAGTACAATTACAGGAAAGTCTTAAAAGAACTTGTAAGGTGGATCTGACAGAACTCCTTTCCAATTGCACGGAAAGCTGGCTGTACTCTGTGGAAGATGACAACTTCTTTGTGGAATTGAAAGCTCTTAAGAGTCTATCCTAGGTCTGTTCTTCTCTTTTAAGTTATACTGAGTAGCTTAAAATTCATATTTTGTTCCATAGGAAATGCTGATAGAATTTACTAAAAATATGTTCACACTGCTAAGTCTTCCAGGCATGCATGCCATAGCCTGCTGAATACAGGTATATACCTCTAAATTTACAGCTGCCTTCGTCCAAACAAAGACTTGGTAAAGAGCTCAGATTTTGGCAAGGGGCAAAGCAACGTTAGTCTCCTATGATAAGTGGATGTCCAGCTGGGGCCTATTCAGTATCTTACTAACAGAAACAAGTCCCTGTTTGCATTGCATTTCATAGCTTTGCTAAGACGAGGTGCTACCTTCTCCCCGTTAGCAATGCACAGAAGGGCAGCGCTCCGTGAGCCTTGAGGCTTCCCCTGACGTCCTTCTCTCGTTTCTGGATGGCAGTACTAGGCAAGGTGTATTTATGCTATGCTTTTTCTGGGTTTACTTTTGTATAGGCTAAACCTTGATTGTCCTCTACTAGTTCATCTAGATAATTGGAACGCTTTGAAATCCAGTTGCAATTTAAAAGGAAAAATTCAATTCCCTTGTCCCAAACCAAAGAGTATGAATGTCCTAGAAGTCGGATTTAGACCTACATCATTCCTTCCACAACAGCTTCAGCAACCAAGCTTTCGAATGCGTTTTTCTCCGCCTCTTCATAGCACATTTTTACTAGCGCTCTCATTTACCCCCTATGTCTGAACATTGTGCTATAGATATTAATTTCTCATGGCAGGGCATTGTCAAATCATGGGATCATAAATCTACTGCATCTCTCTCGTCAGTCCTGGCAATAACTTCTTCACCCTACTTCTGCCCGTCAGGAGAGTATGACCACCTCTGACTAATCCAGGCAGACTATTCTTAATTGAACTATGCTTTTCCAGTGGATAGGTTAACTTTCACAGAATTATTTTTTCAGTAACTGGCATCGAACCAACTGGTCTCCAATTTCCACAGGAAAGAATGAGTAACATCTGATGCTTTATCTGTTGAAAAAGAAGTTACGTATTTTTAGCACTTTGAACCGCTAACTCAGCTGAACTATTAAATATGCTTAAGCTTTCCATGTTTTGCTTATTCCTTTCGCAACCTTTTGTATGGAAAGGGAGACTGATTCCCTGCCCCTTGTCACCACTGTAGCATTGGGGATTCTGCTGCAATGCTAATCTGTGCTCCAGAAATACCATAGTTTGATGTGAAAACTGATCATCACTGTGCAGTGCAACAGGCTAAATTTTCTTTTGCCATGAGTATTGTTTCTATGTACATCAGTTAAACTGGTAGCCACAAAACTATTTGGCACGTATTGTCTGATATTTAAATAAATAGCGTCTTAATTTTTAACTCATTATATTAGCTTATCCTTAAAAAATTTAAAAAGTCCTTTCTTAATTCCTTTGCATCTTGCAATGTCTTTTATATTACTTATTACCAAGTACTTTAGCAATATCAGTATCTATTACTAATTTAGTCTGTTATTGGTAGGAAATCCAAATAGTTTGCCTCTATGCCTTAAATACTTTTGTGGTATTTCTTTCCCTGTAGAGCTGTGCTATTCTATATGGTAATTTTTTATTTCTTTTTCCATTCATTTGATATGATCTTATTTAATACCTTCCCCCCCCCCCAAACTGCCCTTTCTGAAGACATATATCTTAATTTGAAAGCCAGTTATATTATGATTAAAATAGAACACACCCATTCAGATAAAATAATAAATGGCTCAGATATTCACACATCCATGAATCTTTGCAGCACAAATCTCAGAAGCCTCTGGTGCTGAAGGCTGAGTGGACTATGTATAAAGAAGTATAAGCTATGGATTCTCATTTAAAATAAGAAGTTTATTGGGCATGCATTATCAATTTCTCTCCCTGATTTTATGCCCCTTCTCCAAAGACTCTCCTCTCCGTGGTTACACTAGAGTAACCCCATTTTGAGGTGTGCTGCACAGACTGAGGTATCATGTGACGGCCACTGTGAGAGCTCCAGGAGGAGAAACGGCGAAGGCGCGCGCCGAGAGCGCTCTGGGCGTGGGACGGAAAGAGAGGGGCGTGCTGTGTTTCATCTCTCCGCCTGCTCCTCTTGTGCGCAGCACAGCAAAGAGAGGAGTTCAAAAGCAAGTTATCAGGATGATTAAAGTCACCTGCTGACCAAACTGACAAGCTAGAAAAGCACTCAAAACTGACCTTTTCTCTTTGGGATACCTGGTTTGGGAGATTCGGAAGTGCAGGACGTGAGCAGCCTCACGCACTTTGACTTCTTCACTCTCTCGCATTCGGCCAGCCCCGACAGAGGCGCTGGCTTATCTGGCAAGACACCTCTTCTGGCCCCTTCTCAGCCATAAAACTTGTCCTATTAAGTGCTCCTAATCTTTATTGTGAGCAATAGCAAATGTGTATAGCTTGATGAAGGTGCAGGAGAGGAAAGAGCAAATCGATGCAATGGCAGAAGAGGCAAGAATAACTCAAAGTACGCCTTCAGGTACACTTCAGAGACCACCAAACCCTATTCCGGAAGACCAAGAGGCTGCGAGCAGGTTAATTTCAAAATCAAGTCATGTCCCAGGTAATTTATTTGTGAGACTACCGTCTCTAGAAATCCTTGAGATCACAACTGACACATATGACTGACTACTCTCATCGAGTTTTTTTTTTTTTTTAATAGAATCCATTTTAAAAATGCAGACGTTCGTTCAGGTCACTTGGAATTTTAATTCAAAAAAATCCACCTTGTTTGGAAATAACCAGTAACTGTGCAAATCATTAGCGCAAACATAACATTTTCTTGTCGCCTAATAGCACCAAATAAACAGGTACCTGTATTTTCAGAATGAGTTTGTTTTCTCACAGTAACAGACATGGCTAGCCATTAGGTCTGGATTTAGGCAGACTTAGGCCAGGGAGTGGGACTCTCAGGGAAACTCAGGTTCCTTGCAGGGCTTCTAGTCCCCTCCCTTACCTATAAAATGGAGACAGAGAGACTTTCTTACTTTTTATGATGATGATAAGTACATTCCAGACTGTATAGTTCTTAACTATTGTAAGGAATACTGAGAAAGTTGCAATGTAAGCAAGTAACCAAATCAGGACACAGAAATTAAATTGTGCTTATTTTCTGGTCAGCTGTTAGAATTTCACCTTGTTTTACCAAAAACTAGCTTTTTCCAACCTGATCTTTATAAAGCTTTTCAATGACAACACATAAACATGAATCTACCTTAACATATTACTCTTATAAAATTTGTATCGGCTCCCAGATCACTCAGTTTCTAGAAAGAAATGCGGGTTTCTGGTATTACTTTTAGAAATGTTACATAAGCATTTCATTCTCATCTGTGTGCTGAGAATCTGGGCTTTTGGATTTTCTTCATAAAATCCAAACCAGCTTGTTCAATTTCCCACCCTCCATTGTTTAGAAAAATACAATTTGAAGAAAGCACAAAATCAGCCAGAGGAACTCAATTTGGGCTCTTGAGAGCATGTGACATTCACATATTTCCTTTTACAAAGGGAAAAAAGAATTAATGTGTTTTATATTACTGGTGTGAGAAGAATTAGCTGTGGAGGTATCTTAAAAAAACATTATAAATATGGATACCTTTTGATTTCTAAAGATAATGTGTGGAACCAAGCAGCAACAAGTGCAGGGTTAATCAGTGAGGTAACATTGTCAGTCTGGGGCTGGCATTGTCATAGAAAATGATGGAAATATTAATCTAGATATGGAGAATATTGTGAATTCCAAGTTACATGTGTCATAGACACGTATCTGTCCAACGTACCAAATCTGAAGTCCTGAGTGCCTTATAGGTAAATGTGCTTTTAAACTAAAGCTGAAGTTCAGTAGAAAATGTTTGTTCATTTTTGCTAAGATTTCATTTTAGTTAATCAAAACATTTCTTAGAAGAATAGTATTAGGATAAAAGTCAAAGTTTTTTACAAGTCTTCCCAGGAGAACTTGTGGCCTTCCCTAGCCAGTTCTATGTTTATCCCAAAACTCAGGTACAAAATCATATAACATCACCTTTTTGTAATCAGCTTTTTTCATTTTTGTTGAGCTGTTTGATCTGGAGGAAGAGAAGTCAAAGGACAAACATTTTGGCTCAAGGATTTTAATCTTCAGTTATGTGAGTTCAGTTTCTTTTTATTAGCACAAAATTTACAAGAACACAGTAATTTTTTTGTCTTGAAAATTAGGCAAAATCAGCCAGCTTGGACTTAAGAACAACTATAACAATGTGTTTTCTTTGGATAAATAGGCTCTTTTTCAAAGGTACTACGTTCTCAGCAATGCACAAATTAGATTTTTAAAAGTAAGGAAAGTTTTTTTGGCGGGGGGTTGAGAAAGAACATTCACCCATCCTACAAATACAATGCAACAGTTCATTTTAAGGTCTCTGTAAGAAGAGGCACTGTCCTCAATAGTATGAATTTCCCTGACACCTGCCTCAGATCAATTAGATTTAATGTAGTCTACTGCTCACTAAACTTCAGCTTTTCGGTTCTACAGTAATGCGTATTAGTAACAATGCTGAGAGGAAAAAATGAGTTTTGGAATTATTAAAATCTAGAAGATAAGTGAAAAAGAAAAACCATGAGAGCAAATGCTGCTTTTCTAAATGTGGTTACTAGTATTATTCTTTTTTTTGTCTTTTATGTTGGCTTTTCATCTCTATGAACATTACACCGAGGAGTGCTTTTGTAGCTACTACTGTGTCAGATGCCCAGATAGTATAAATTAGCTGCATTGACTTCACTGATACAGTATGGATTTACATCGCTATGGAACGGGGAGCACATACACGTAACAGCATAGCATAAAGGCTTTGTCAGGGATAACTTAGCAGACACTGTCTAACTGCATGAGAATGTCAAATTACTTGATATCTGGGACGAAAGATTCAGAACTTTGTAGGAGCTTTGCCATTGCCTTCTCTGGAGCTAGCAGGAAGTAGTCACAGCACCTGATTTAGGTTTTGAGGTTAGATGGACAGGAGGGCAGTGTCTGGCGGCTCTGTGTTAGAAACCAAGAGAATTCTGCAGGTAAGTAGGAAAGGATCTGGATTCACCTCAGTCTCTAAGGACAGTGTCACTTGCCGTTCAAACACATGTCACGCCTGGCTGGAACAAGCAGTCAGGAATGTGTAAATAGAGGAAAGGAGAACGTTGGGAGCGTAATTACTGTGTTTAGATACAAACTTCTAGGTAACAAAAAATGACGAAAGAGCAAAACTAATGGAGTTTGTCCAGATCAGCAAATATAATGATGGACTATATCTGGAAGACCTTTAAAGGATGTTCTGCAAAAGGCTGTTTTATCTTTCTTGGTTAACACACCTTTAGAAATACATGGAAAGGCTTGCCAAGGGTTATGCATCAACTCAAGAGTAACCAAAAGTCCTTGTGGAAATTAAAGTTGAAAAAGAATCAAGATGTGAATCTTTGGCCAGTATTCATAAATTCCTTGCACACTGTTACATATAAGTAAAAATGAGAGATGTCTGACCTGTCCCTTTTGAGCATTCTTGCCTTAAAAACCATGATGTTCTTTAGTGTTCTGCTCCAGGACTGTAACAAAACACCTACAGTCAATGACAAGAGGCGATTTCTTGTGGGGTCCATGGTGGCATAAATCACAGTACTTTGGTGATATACCCTAAGGTATTAATAATTTGGATCATTAGTCAGATTCAGGATGTTCTCCCTCTCTGCTCTGCCTTCATTTCCTTGGATAGGGAAACGTATGAAAGTGTTCCCCTGATTAAAGAATCTATTTTTAAAAGTGACATTCTATGTATATATTTTTATGAATGACACAACTGATACAATTGTATCACTAACTGCAGTATAATTTTAGCTCCGTTCGTTTGTCTGACCTACAGCCAGCCTTGGATGATAATATGCTATCTCACTGAACAATCAACTCCACTCACGCTTCATAAACTGGGATCCTCTTTTCTTGGACTAGGGTAGGAAAGAAATGTGTTCTCTGGACCTCTCCAATTGCAATGTAATGTAGTTATTTGAACCTAGCCTTACGGTATTACACAGCTGGCACTGGATTGCATAGCCTTTGCCTATATTACGTACTAAAACTGACTTCAGAAAATTGCAAGTGTTTGTGTTGGCAGTTCATAGTAGATATCTATTTCTATTTTTTACTGGATAATTGCGCAGAACTTCAGAAAAGTTTAAGTTGATTTCTTTACGGTCCAAATCCTTACTAAACAGAAAAGAAAGAACTACGTTCTGTTAAGCTCTTTTTTGAAATTCAAATGATGTTTGTACCTTAGGGACAGGACTGAGGAGGGTAACATGGTTTGTAGGAGCTTAAGACGATTAACCTACTTTATATTGCTCTCACCACACTGCACTGGTTAACTATTATTTTTTAGCAGTGTCTTTAACTATTAGGTAAAGCAGCGCTTTATTTAGAATAACTTACACAGACTAATTTTATTTTTCCTCTGTTTTCCATTATACTTGCCATATGGAATGTGTATACTAGAATTCATGTAAAAACCCCTTCAGTCTCTGCCCTTGCCCAGACCCAGATGAGTTAATTCTTTGTATTTTTACTCTCCCTCTAGGTCCAGTGTCCATTACTGTTGCGTGACATGCTATAGGTTTTTCCACTGGCAATGAACAGAGGCTGTTAAAATTCAGTCAGGCATTTTCCCACTCAGAATCTATTTTATCAGCTGATAATTTTCTGAAGCAACTGTTTGGGCAGTCCAGTAAAGTAAGGAGAAGGTATCACTGAATACTCTTGTCTAGAATGAAACAGTCACTTACTATGGTAGTTCTGTGAGACGCTCCCGAAAACGCCTCAGGATTAGATGGCGTTTGAAAGGTGTAAGCCCATGAAAGAATTTGGGAGAACAATTACACTAAAGGTGGAAGAACTATCATATCATCAACTACTACATATTGGCTTTCTAATAGTGCATATTTGGGGGGAAAAACAGAGTTTTGCAGGTTCATTTCCAGGACTATCTAAAAGGGATGCAGCCCTACAGCCACAGCAAAATTGGAGATAGCTGATCTATCTACCCTTCCTTTCATTTAGTTCAGGGACACAGACTTCGGTCTTCAGCTTTTCAATATAATATTTCAAGCATAGTTTTAATAACTGGGGTTAGAATGATTTCTCAAAGGACAAGGGAATTTGCAATGGCCAGTTCTGCTCTATGTGCACTGTACAGCCTGCTTTCTGTCTTCTCAAATGCTCTTATAAAAACTTTAATACTTGTGTAAGAAAAGTGGAACAGCTGATTTTTACAGCACTGCATACTCTAAGTGTAATGTCATAAGTGCTAGCTCTCTTTTTAACTTTTTAAAGATGATAAACTAACGGAGAATTCAAAAGTGTATTAATATTAACACAAAAATGCTAAGTGTCCTTTAAGAAAGGGCACATACAGCTCTGCTTATTAGTATGTCTTATTGCCCTAAGTTTTCCTTAGGTCTAAGATGACCTAAGTCATCTTATTATTAAGTAGAAATATTATTAACTGGAAATACATTAAGACATCCCTGAGAAAATGTTATGGTGCAAAATAAATATAAGCAGTTTATAAACTGTTTATATGTAACTAGAAAATTGCTGAGATGATATTTCCATTTCTCAGGGAATGCTATCACAATATCAGCTGCTTATTTACTCAACTCTGTAGCTATTATCTCTTCTTATTCAAAAATGTATGCATACATCCCATTACATTTTTACCTTTTTCTTTTTAATAAATGACAGATTACTGCCATGCATCTACGGCTGAAGCACAGTTCAAATCTTTGCAAGCACAATCTCAGCCAAAATATATAGTGCAGCTTGGCAACAGAATGCTTCCCACTGAATAGTCAACAAGATAAATATACCTTCAGATTCTCCTTTGCCTGATATTATTTTTGGCTCTTGATGTTACAAAATATACAATTCAAAA